ATATATTCATATGTTTTTTCCTTTCTTTTTTACAGAAAAAAATTGATAAACTATATTATTAAATAGGAACTGACAAACAACTCTTCCCATAATTTCAGCAAAATAATTTCACATTAATATCAATTAATTTAAAATTTCTACACCAAATGCAAATGCCTGTGTATGTACATGTTCCTCTGCTGCTGGGAAAGCTGACTTGTTGGGTGAAGTGAGACGGGGATACTCGATTTTATAAATAATCTCTTGATCTGCATTCCGCATTTCTCACTTGACCCACCGAGCCATTTAGCACGAACTGAAGTGACCACAATATATTCGAGCTCCTATGTACATATCTACATTCACACAAAAGGATGTACTACCACAGGCCAACCCAAAGTAACAGCTTCCAGCTTCTGAATAAATGTACAGTCAAATGTACTGTATACTTGGCAGTGGTTGACAATTTTTTTTTCCTTGAGATGGAAACAAGTAAATTATAAGAATATTTATTGTCAAATTATTAAGAATTTATCTGTGGTCATAGTTGTGGCAGAAATGTCCAAGATTGGTTTTGCATAGCTTGAGACTAGAAAAAAATTCCTGTTGAGAGCACTGAATATGTCTGTTTAAAAATATGTGTGCCCGTCAACAATGAGGTTTCAATTACACGGAATGTTACACAAGTTCTCAAAAAGTTTCAAATCTCGACTATTAAAAAAACACAATAAATTATTCTGGGGATAACAAGAATTTCAACCTAAATAAAAAATAGGTTATTCTTGGATAACATTAAACATTTCAAATTGCAATTACATCATGTTCACAATAAAAAGCATAATAAAGGATATTATTTGATGAAAGAATTTAAACAACTGACCAAAAGAAAAAAAAAGGATAGCAATTATATACTGAATCATTAATTGATTGTTAGTTGTTTTTTCATTAGACAAGATTCTTCACTGACTGTTATTCAACATATATTATAGACTGGAAATCGTTCTCTTCTCTCATTACTTTTGTTAATGAAAAATCTTGACTAAATTTATATGAACACAATTAATTAAAACATGTAAACTTATGACATATATGTTGTTAGCACAATAAAATAGAAAAAAAAATGCTAACAGGATGTACATATAATAGAAGCAGAAACAGCATGACCTGAGAATAATCGGTCCAAGAAAAAACTGGATGTCGACAGCCTGGCAGCTTCATTACTCTGATATTTGGACATGTGGAAGAAAGACATCTCCCTTTTATATGGGCAGGATTCTGTGCAACAGTTATTTCCTACCACAATAATGGAAACAATGGAAGTTACAGGCACAATGTAATGGATTTTTGGCTGGTATACAGTCCATGTTACCATTGTGGCCTTTTATTTCTCACATCAAAAAATTCTCTCACAACTGTCTATTTTATGTACAGGTTTCCTCAGTTGTAACTCTCTAACCTCCTTTATTAATCTGCATGAACTCGACATGCATACAAGTTTCCATCACTAAATTACAAAGACAAAAAGCCTCTATTGATTCCTTCCTTGACTGATCATAGTTAATATGGGTAGAGATCGCAGAGGAGTTTCTGTTGACGTTCCTGGCTGAGATCCCGATTCTAAATCCTATAAACAAAATGAAAAATATTTATTACACTAATCACTTAACTATTAATTAAGAATTTTGATATAAATAAAATTTATACAACATTTTACACAAAAATCAAATTCAGTTCTAAGATAAAATGTAATCAGCACAAATATTTTGTTTTATTATAATATCAGCTAAACTTGCTATACAAGTCCTTTTGTGGCAATATTACTATATTTTTAATCAATTGCAATTATTATAATTATTATTATTATTATTTGTATAATAATAATTTTCACTTGATTAAATTTACGTATTTGCTTCCAGAAAATGAAATAAATACTGAAATACTGGCACTCAATATCTAGAGTTTAAAGGTTAGTTACAGTTTACATGATATAAAAATATTAATTCAGCTAGATTATATTTAAAATTTTAAATATTGGAATCCAGAGGATGTTTTTGTATGTTTAAACTGAAATTAAAAAAAGGTGAATTTAATTAGAATATTCAATATAGTAAATGTCTTCAGAGCATTGATTTTCTATTGTATATGTATTCATTTGCACTTGCATGCATACATGCACATAGAGCAATTGATTCAACAGATAGGTAGCATTGATATGAAGTGCCAATAAGTAATTTATTTTGTACTATTCTACTTAAATTGTGACATTATTCTATAGTGCTGTAGTAAATCAAAAAGTTGCATTTATAATGTGGATTAAAATAAAACAGTTATTATAAAAACTATTAAATATAAAAATAAAATATTAATATTAATTAGAATTTACTTATATTTAAATGCTGTTGTAACAAGTGGAATATATTTTTGCAAAAATGTAAATAATTATGTCGTTTATTTTAATAATAAAACAATTTACATCATACAGAATCTTACCTTAACTACATGTAATAATTTTTAAGTAGATGAATGTAAATAATAATTCCAGGAAGTTTTCCAAGATTTGGGACATACCTAAGGCAAAACCCTTTTGTTAGATGTTAGAAAGCATTCACAGAAAGTTATAAGTTAATTTTAAGTGGAAAATAGTAAATTAAAAAGATAAAGTCACAAAAGATTAGAATAAAGCAATTATATTAAAAGCTACAATAGTTTTTGAGAAAATTTACTGATATTGAATTTAATTTTTAATGGATCTAATAAAACAAACGTTTTATCGGTAAAATACATTCACAATATTTTTAATTTCAACATTTTATAAGTCCATTAAGAAGCATTTACACTGGATAAAAATTGAAATTGGCCTATTTTTATTGTTATGTAATTTTTTCTCATTTATATTTATTCTGATTCCATTCTTACTACTAAATTTATGTATGTTTGTTGATTAATCAATTGCTAAAGAATGATAGAATCTAATCTGTAATTTGCAACTATTTTACTACACAACAGAAAGGAACTATGGTAAAATAATCAACAAAAAAAAATATTAGAGATAATAATTTATATATTAAAATAAAAATATATATTGTGGAAACTACTTATTAATTGTAATTACCTATTAAGTAATTATTAAATAATTTGATTATAGAAGATTTAAGACATCATATAAAATAATGAATAATAATTTATCAAACCAGTTTCAAATAAATAAATAAATTTATTTTACTTTTGCCTTATTCAGAAAAGAGTTTCTATATTCAATACAAACTGATCCATGTTTTAATTACTGAATTTTCAGAATATTCCATTTGACACCCAGTGTTGCATAAAAATAAACATAGTACTTTTTTACACAGACAAAAATAACTACAGATAATATTCCTTTTCATAAGTTCCACACTTTATCAATTATTTGAGAGTATATAGGACACAGGCTAGCAACTGCATGACAAGACAATGTTCATCATTCTTGTTCATTAATATTTGTCCAGTGTAAAATGCATTCTTTTTAAAGTAGAATTAAATCAAAATCAGAACTTTTCAAAAATATAATTCTTTCATTAATATTTCATTTCACTGAAAATAATAATTTTTATCTCAGTCTCATTTGATGTATTTAACTATTCTATAAAAATCAAAGTATCAGTGCAATTTATTGATTAAATATAATGTTTTATCATTAATAATAAAATATCAGGTATTTAATACATGTAAAAATGAAATTTCTGAATATGGATCTTTTTCCCCTCATATCTAACGTTTATTATTCTCATTATATATTTATATTTTTGATTTAATTTAGAAAACATTAAATTGTTTCTTTAATTTCATGGTTTTATATAAAAACAATTACAATAATATTTTTGTAATATTCTTATTCAATATATTTAAATAACTTAAAATTTTAATTAAAAAATTGTGACAAATCTAAATTATTTATTCCAGAATTATTCTTGTTTTTATCAAATTTTCCATAAATATAAACTATTATAATTTAAATGATAGTAATATGAATAACTAAATTAAGATTTCTATGTTGTTCAATTTATCAATAAATTTATTATAAATCAGCAAAATAAAAATTTGAATAATATGCAATGTTAAAATTTATGAAAAATTTTACTGATAAAAGGAGATATTTCCTGTAGATTAGAAATTATAATAAAGAAATTTATGATAATATCTAAAGTAGCTTTTTAAGCAACTAATTATTTTATCTATTTTCATAGATTATCATTTCTATTAAGAGAAAGAGAAAAGTTTTGTTGTTTATTTTTTAAATTTCATTTGTTTAAGGATTGTTTGCTTTTTCAAAAAGGCATTTTATAATTATTTCATTATATATATAATTATAAATTGAATTGACATGTCATTTCATGACTCAATCATATCTTATCTTGCATATTTATAGTTAATAAAAAAAAATACTTGTTATTGTTTATAAATTATATGCTTGGAATCTACAATAGTAAAATTCCAAGATTAAAGTAATTCTATCATTACATATGAATAATTATAAACATTTGTGATAAATAAAGTGAATTCAAACAAAACAAATTCATATCTGTAAAATAATTTAATTAATTTCTACTTTTAAATGAAGGAAATTTTGAACATATTAATTACTAAAATGCTTCATGAAGATTCTATTACAAATTTGAATTAATCAAATAAACACCTTAATCTGAGAATAGAAATTCATTTTTTGGTATACATCTTTATAAATTTGGTAAATATTTTGAATGACTAATCAAAACAAAAACAGTAGCATTCTGCTAGTTTTCTACATATTCCCTTCCTATCATCTCCAGAATTGTCAAATAATAAATGTGTTTATCTATAATAATGTTATTTTGGAAATTAGATTATAGTTTTCCATTAATATTACATTTTCAAATAGATGAGCAAAAACAATAAAAGGCAATATATTCATGGAACTAGTACTGGCCAAAAAAGTTATTATCTGCAACTTATCCAAAGTTTTACTATAAATTAATTATTAATAAGTTGAGTGCATGTTAATTTTTTCAAAAATTGTATTTAAAGATAAATTCATTCTGATGGATTAGTTTGTTACTTTTGACTGTTATTCATGAACTTCAAACATCTGAAATGGATAAAACAGATTCTAAAAGTGGCAAAGTTGTTTTACATATATTTAAAAATAATAGTGAAATAAATTATAACACAGTTAGCAGAAAAAAAAAAAAAGTTATTATTGAAAGTAAAAACATATGTTAATATATCGATTTTCAATGTTTTAGAGATAAATATTGCCTTTTTTCCCTGTTACTTACTAAAGCCATCTTTAATGATGACCAAATGAATAATATCAAATATAAATATAATAATATAATAAAACACAGTACAAAACAAAAATACAATAGAATACAAGTAACAAATATAATCATACTTCAAAATAAGTAAACCAACAGGAGGATGAAAGAAACATGAATGAGGAATAAAGTTTATAAGATTCATTTACTTTGAAGAAAAATTTATAGTTAAGAAGGAAAATTATTTCAATAGGAACAAGAGATTATTAATGCAGTCCGTGATAATTTTGTGTCTAGATGTTAAAAAACAAATTATAAGACCAATGGTTTAAGCATTTTCTGCAAGTGAAAATTTCAATCATAAAATACATATTTGAAGATAAACAATTTAAGAATTTTTGTAAAACACAAAACTATAATCATCATCCTAAAGCAATGTATTAAAATTATCTAATTAATTCATAAGCTTCTTTTAAACAACTTGGATCTTTAATGTTTCATATAAAGGATACAATAAGAGAAATATCAGATTTATAAAATATGAAATTTTTCAAAAATCTTAATCCAATTTTAAATTAAGTTCTAACATACACTTATTTAAAATCTAAATATAGATAATCTATAAGAATAGTAAATACTTCTTTTATAGGGGCATTCAATTTTATAAAAATTTATGAATGCTCTAATTTTTAACTGATAACAATACCTAATTTCATTTAATGACCAATCAATTTTCTTTACTAACTTTTCCTTCTTCCTCACATAATGCATTTGATAACATAATATTCAACCTAAATAACTAAAAGTGTCTATAATTTAAGATATATTGTTATTGTGGTTTTATTATACTACTGGTCTAAATTTACTTTAAATTTTAAATAAATCAATTTTTCCTCTTCTCTTACAAACTACTAAAAAATAATTCCAGTTCCCAGTAGTCTATAAATAACCAAATGAATTAATCAGTACCAAAAAAATGAATTTTACATACATTTGTTGGAGTAGTCTGTCTGTCTGATGAAGAATGTAATGATTGTGAACCAAAAGGTTTGCGTTCAAGTTCTTCTATAATTGATTTTTCTTTTTCTCTTCTTCTACAAAGAATATATGAAATATTAGTAATACTGAAAATAACTTCAATACTATATTTTAAAAAATATTATAAGCTATTATAAAATTTAATATATTTTCCTAATTCATGGTTAATTNTACTCATAGTGCCATTAGGTTTACTTCACATGATTTTTTAAATACATTACACTTCACGAAACAGAGAATACCGTAATTAAATGTTGATCGATTGAAAAAGAATGAATGGTTTTTTAAGTTTGACTTTTGTACTTATTTATGCTAATTCTTCATCACCCTACTACCGACAACAGCGGTGGATTACTCAATAGACTCACTAGGCGCACGCCTAGGCCTGGTCATCTGGAGGAGTCCCCAAAATTGCATAGCAAAACGACAACATTCCTGTAAAAATTTATTGAACGCTTAAAAAGTGTATATTTTGCATCCCGGCAAGAACGGTGACATAACTCGTAAACCGATGATTTTATTGTCTTTTTAATAAAAAACATTTAGACTACATAAAGGAACCTTATAACAAAATTGTTCCTAGGGCCTCAAAGAAACATAATCCGCACTGCATCTAATGGCAAAATTTGTAATTATCTAAAGTAGGGTTATGCTCAAGGTAGCCAAACAGTTTCGTCATAAAATATACACTTTTACGTCAGTTTGACGTCATTGTTTTAGCTTGTTCTTTGTAAAACTGAAGTGACATTAGCGTGTATACTTTTTGGACCAAACGAACAGGACTAAGGTGGAACCAAATGAATAAGAGTCTGCTATTGGCTACTAAACTGAAGTCATCACAGAACAAAGCAAGATTACGTAAAATTACTACTGCTTCATTGAAATAATTTTGTTTTTACATTATTCATTGTGTAAGTTCGAGTTTACGCATAATAATTGATAAGATATTAATTTTGATAAAATGATAATAAAAATGAACGATTTCGATACAAAAAATTAAATGACGCACAAGATATTAAATTATAATTATTACAAATATATTATTAAAGTAGTTAGTCAATTGAGAATTTGTTCACAACATAATACTTTAATTGCACACTTGACAATATTCTTTCCTTGATTTGTGGAATCTCGAACAGAGGGTCACTGGGAAAGGATAATATGGTTTATATATTCAAACAGTTTCTATATCACTTTAATATTAAAAAGCTTATTTATATACAGTACATATATATGAGATTAATGAATTAATTGCGTATTTTGTTATTTCTCGTTGGCAAAATAGTTATGCATTCAGATTTGTCCGATTACTGAAAATCTAAATGATTAGTTATGCACACCAGGTAATGTCACCAAAGAGTGTTAAAATCCTAGTATTTTGTAGGAAGGCTCGCAAAGGCTCAATCTGTTCACAATTTTCATTGTACAGTACTTAATGTTGGAAGGCCCTTTGAACGCCAGGCATGCAATCAAACACACAGGAAAAAATTACTGATAAAATTTTATTTTTCAAAATTGTTAAAGTTTACATTGTTCGGTATGTGCCAAAAAATAAATGAACATTATTTTTTTTTTCGTTTTCCTTTTTTCCTTCTTTGCAGGATCAACAACAACAGCTTGCGTGTACCTGGAAATGGAGCTTTTTACAGCACCTCCACTGAACAAGTTGAATGATTTTCTAACAAGATGGTGCATCGCTCATCACATTGTGTTTACGTGTTTCAGACTTTCTCAATGTCAACATTTCCTGACAGATAAATTGATCGTGACGGTTCGATATCATGGCTACCACGAATGCCGAAATAATTCCTTTTAATTTTTTCCTACGAGGCTGCGTCAAGGATAGTGTATTTATTCAACATGTGTACCTGTCCTGTACCAACATGTGTGATGTCGAGATGCAGAGAAACAGCTGCTATTGCTTCTGTCTCTGCAGAAATGTTGAAGAAAACTTGGCAAGAAATTGATTATTAATTAGATATACTCAGGATCACATAGAATGCACGTGTGGACGTTTATTAATATAAAAAGTTTTTGACGTAGCTTATTATCTTACAGATACAATAAATAGATTTTACCTGAATGTAATTATTGTTGTTTAATACAATTTTATAATAAGGAAAAGACAGCTGACGGAGGTTTTTCCCCTCTGCTCCTTTATATGTCAGGGTAACATATACGTGCAAAAGAAGGATCCGTTAGCAAACCCCATGACCTCTTGCGCGAATTAGTAGTCCGGAAACATTTTCATACCAAAAGTTAAGATCAGCATTATACTTTATAAAAGATATATCGGTGATGATTTGATCGTATGGGATTCAGCAAAGATCAGATTCACAGACATGATTAATTCCAACCAGCGTAACTAAAGATAGAGTAGATAAGTAACAACACAAAGATGCACCATAGACAGATTAATTGCTACGTGTGTAACCAAGTACCCTTCTAGTACGTTTTCCCATCAAAATAAACCGATGTAGTGACATGCAGTAGACAATTAGATATATATATAGGCTATATATAAAACAAAATCAAATACACGGCTGCAAACTAGTACAGTCGACCCCCTATAACACTGTTGATAATTCCGTTTTATATGAATTCCATGTTGTACGAGTCACTTTGAACGGCTCACGTATTTGTAAAATCTAAGTGACTCGTACAACATGGAATTCATATAAAACGGAATTATCAACAGTGTTATAGGGGGTCGACTGTATATAAATATAGTCCCACAGTGTATAATCTGTTACGCAATGGGAAAGACCCAATAAATACTAACACGAACCCGGGAATCTATTCGATATACATCACCCGGAGGAATGAAAACAGTAACAAGCTTATACATAAGTTACAAGGCAAGGAATCTACTCACTACAGTTAAAGATGACCAATAGGATGATTAAAAAAATGTGCACGGCTTTAGCAGCGTAGTCTACGATTTCAGGGAGTTTGGTTTCCGCATTTTGAGGAAACCAAACTCCTAAAAATTGCTGAACAACCCCTATATTGATTGAAGCTGAATCTATACCGGTATAAGGACGGTAACGATCTCTCATGCATCAACCAAAAACATGCACAAAGCTTATCAGTATCTTGGAAATATACTCGTATTATATAAGATTGCAAGCGATGATGGCTGAAAAAAAGAGATTTGTTTCGATAAGTAAGTGTTTCTCTAAAGGTTTTCCTGTTTATAAGGTACACAATTGAAGTAAGTAATAGGAGAGCAGGCTGCTTTAGTAGCTACATCAGCAAACTCATTACCTTCTATTCCAACAAGTCAATATTCAGCAGAATTTAATTACAAATTGGCGTTCCTCAAGGCATTGCAATTAATTCTTATGATACGCCTACTGGGATGATGCGAAAGGCGCCAAGATGTTACAGCATGTAAGGCACTGAGCGAGTCACAGAATTTGATTTATTTTGAACTTAAATTTTTTTTATCCATGACATTTATAGCCACCGAACAACAAAACTAATAATTTTAGTGTATCCAACGTGTTAATGATAAGTGTAATAATTTTAGTGTATCCAACGTGTTAATGATAAGTGATCTTCACAAGACAGAGAAATCCGTACGTTTCTTTTCATTTGCATTTAACTTTTTTCCTATTCTTAACACCCAAATGTCTCAAGTCACCAGACTAGAACGTCTTTATTTTCCGTCAGTTGCTCCCATTTGTCATCTTTGCTTGCTGATTATTATTAAAATCTCTTCTTTAAATAATTTTCAAACCACTCCATCAATTTCTCATTTTTCTTTTTTATTACAATTTCCAAAATGTCGTGTTCCCGAGTCTACCCATCCATTCATTTTCATTATCATTTTTAAGTCCCAATTTTTTTGTCTCATTTCTGCGGTGTTGTAGCCTAAGTTTCATACTCCAAATATAGCATTTTACAAATCTTTCCCTTCGGGTTTAACTTCATCGATCCTACAAGACTGTTCTTATTATTTTTAATTCATCATTCCTTATTTTCATATTATCTTCGTTTCTTGCATTGTACTTGTCTAACTTAAATGCGTAAATACTTTCACTTGATATTCTGTACTATTCAAATTTTAATCTAGTCTTATTTCCAAGTTTTCTGCCTCCCTTCACTGCACAATTATTTATTTATTAATATGATGATTATTACAGAGAACGTGGTTAAAAATAACTTTGCGATGTTTTTAATGGCACGTGGTGGATAACCACAAAACATAGCAAGATGAATCACCCTGTAATCTAATCTATTATAGTTCGGTTCTTTACTTATTATAGATGTGAAAGTAAATGTGGATAGAATGCTTTAAAAATCTAAAGAACGGAATAAATATAATTGGTTGGTTTTGGAATGCAAGAATCAAAATTAGTTATGTCATATCTTATTTCGAATTACATTCGCCATGTCCAGAAATACACTATTCAAGGACAATTCATGTAAATAACTTTTAGATAGACTTTAAATAATTGTGGACTCGAATAAAACTGCAAGGATTCTATATTCAGAGTAAGGACTTGCCCCAGAAATTTTAAATGAGAAATACTTTCGCACAGGATTCAAATCTTACCATCATATTTCTAAAAATTTAAGTGTCGATAATAATTACATATTATATAATGAAATTGAAATTAATTCTTTATTTTTTGAATTTTTGTGATTGATTAATTATAAAACTTTAAATGCACGAACTCTTTTAAGTTAGTCAGGATGTAAATCCAACTTGTAGCGAGCTTTACGGTTTGATTTTTAATGTGTAATGGCGCAGCTTAGCCTAACAGTTTGTTAGATTTGTGCCAAAAATAAACTAAAAATCTAGTAACTAACTAAATAATGCATAATGTTGAAATTTTTAACTATTATTTATTATACTTTGGATGTTTTTATATTCTTGCTTTTTAGGTATTAATCGCCGTTTACCTGACAAAGATCTAAAAAGCAAATTACGTATTATAAATTCGTAATCATATCGTAATGATCGACCGTACAGTAACATCTATATTACCCATGAATTTTTTACATTGAACTGTGGTGCATCTGGAGATGGTCCAAGGGGGCCCGACACCCTTCAAAAAAGGGGGAAGACACTAGAAAATTTTTCAAAATCTTTTCCTAATTAAAATTCATTTTTCCATTTATATTGTGTACGATCCAAATATAGTATAACTTAAATTACTTAGCAATTTGATTAAAATCTAAACAAAATCATTCTAATAATTCGTAATTATAAGTTATGTTTCCAATAAAACGTGCAAGTATCTTTTGATATTTCGACATTCTTGTCATCCAAATCCAAGTCGAAAAGTAAAAAGTTGAAATCGGTTCTTTAAGACATTGAAGAAATATCCCGAGTGTAACTTATTTAAAATTCGATCAACAAAACACGATAAAATTATTATTATTTATTCGATAAAAATAGTGAAATTATTACGTTACGGGAGTAATGATGAATCTAGAACACATTGTTATAAACTATTTATTTTCTCATGCATGGCAGTTTCTAATTAGAAGACTCATATAAACTGACTATTCTAAATTTTCAAATGTTATAAATTAAGAAAATACAGCAAACTCATTCATACATTTTGATCAATTCATTACAGGAGGTATATAATATACTGTATATATATTATTTTATATATATATTAAACTTGAAGCAAATTTGCTGTGCCATTAAATGCTATCAGGGAAGACAAATATTGCAAAAAATTTTCCATTTTAACAATTAACATTTTTTAAATGCTAAGACACATTAAAAAAGATATTTTTTTTTAACATTTTTTTTTTCTTTCATGATTATCAATTATGAACAAAGCTTAGAATTCGTTGACATTTTGAAAAGTCAGACTAGCTTTATATTTTGTAATAATGTCACTGTCATATTTGCAATTCTTGGAAGAAGATAGATTGATATGTCTGATATAAAATAATTTAGATATGATGATACTTAAAAACTATACAATATAATACACACATACATGGCATGTGTTACTTATACTGCATAAATATATATAATATACGGACAAACTTATAGCTGTCTTAATTAAGAAATTTTTAAACATTTTTCCACAAGTTATAATATATATATATATATATATTCATATGTTTTTTCCTTTCTTTTTTACAGAAAAAAATTGATAAACTATATTATTAAATAGGAACTGACAAACAACTCTTCCCATAATTTCAGCAAAATAATTTCACATTAATATCAATTAATTTAAAATTTCTACACCAAATGCAAATGCCTGTGTATGTACATGTTCCTCTGCTGCTGGGAAAGCTGACTTGTTGGGTGAAGTGAGACGGGGATACTCGATTTTATAAATAATCTCTTGATCTGCATTCCGCATTTCTCACTTGACCCACCGAGCCATTTAGCACGAACTGAAGTGACCACAATATATTCGAGCTCCTATGTACATATCTACATTCACACAAAAGGATGTACTACCACAGGCCAACCCAAAGTAACAGCTTCCAGCTTCTGAATAAATGTACAGTCAAATGTACTGTATACTTGGCAGTGGTTGACAATTTTTTTTTACTTGAGATGGAAACAAGTAAATTATAAGAATATTTATTGTCAAATTATTAAGAATTTATCTGTGGTCATAGTTGTGGCAGAAATGTCCAAGATTGGTTTTGCATAGCTTGAGACTAGAAAAAAATTCCTGTTGAGAGCACTGAATATGTCTGTTTAAAAATATGTGTGCCCGTCAACAATGAGGTTTCAATTACACGGAATGTTACACAAGTTCTCAAAAAGTTTCAAATCTCGACTATTAAAAAAACACAATAAATTATTCTGGGGATAACAAGAATTTCAACCTAAATAAAAAATAGGTTATTCTTGGATAACATTAAACATTTCAAATTGCAATTACATCATGTTCACAATAAAAAGCATAATAAAGGATATTATTTGATGAAAGAATTTAAACAACTGACCAAAAGAAAAAAAAAGGATAGCAATTATATACTGAATCATTAATTGATTGTTAGTTGTTTTTTCATTAGACAAGATTCTTCACTGACTGTTATTCAACATATATTATAGACTGGAAATCGTTCTCTTCTCTCATTACTTTTGTTAATGAAAAATCTTGACTAAATTTATATGAACACAATTAATTAAAACATGTAAACTTATGACATATATGTTGTTAGCACAATAAAATAGAAAAAAAAATGCTAACAGGATGTACATATAATAGAAGCAGAAACAGCATGACCTGAGAATAATCGGTCCAAGAAAAAACTGGATGTCGACAGCCTGGCAGCTTCATTACTCTGATATTTGGACATGTGGAAGAAAGACATCTCCCTTTTATATGGGCAGGATTCTGTGCAACAGTTATTTCCTACCACAATAATGGAAACAATGGAAGTTACAGGCACAATGTAATGGATTTTTGGCTGGTATACAGTCCATGTTACCATTGTGGCCTTTTATTTCTCACATCAAAAAATTCTCTCACAACTGTCTATTTTATGTACAGGTTTCCTCAGTTGTAACTCTCTAACCTCCTTTATTAATCTGCATGAACTCGACATGCATACAAGTTTCCATCACTAAATTACAAAGACAAAAAGCCTCTATTGATTCCTTCCTTGACTGATCATAGTTAATATGGGTAGAGATCGCAGAGGAGTTTCTGTTGACGTTCCTGGCTGAGATCCCGATTCTAAATCCTATAAACAAAATGAAAAATATTTATTACACTAATCACTTAACTATTAATTAAGAATTTTGATATAAATAAAATTTATACAACATTTTACACAAAAATCAAATTCAGTTCTAAGATAAAATGTAATCAGCACAAATATTTTGTTTTATTATAATATCAGCTAAACTTGCTATACAAGTCCTTTTGTGGCAATATTACTATATTTTTAATCAATTGCAATTATTATAATTATTATTATTATTTGTATAATAATAATTTTCACTTGATTAAATTTACGTATTTGCTTCCAGAAAATGAAATAAATACTGAAATACTGGCACTCAATATCTAGAGTTTAAAGGTTAGTTACAGTTTACATGATATAAAAATATTAATTCAGCTAGATTATATTTAAAATTTTAAATATTGGAATCCAGAGGATGTTTTTGTATGTTTAAACTGAAATTAAAAAAAGGTGAATTTAATTAGAATATTCAATATAGTAAATGTCTTCAGAGCATTGATTTTCTATTGTATATGTATTCATTTGCACTTGCATGCATACATGCACATAGAGCAATTGATTCAACAGATAGGTAGCATTGATATGAAGTGCCAATAAGTAATTTATTTTGTACTATTCTACTTAAATTGTGACATTATTCTATAGTGCTGTAGTAAATCAAAAAGTTGCATTTATAATGTGGATTAAAATAAAACAGTTATTATAAAAACTATTAAATATAAAAATAAAATATTAATATTAATTAGAATTTACTTATATTTAAATGCTGTTGTAACAAGTGGAATATATTTTTGCAAAAATGTAAATAATTATGTCGTTTATTTTAATAATAAAACAATTTACATCATACAGAATCTTACCTTAACTACATGTAATAATTTTTAAGTAGATGAATGTAAATAATAATTCCAGGAAGTTTTCCAAGATTTGGGACATACCTAAGGCAAAACCCTTTTGTTAGATGTTAGAAAGCATTCACAGAAAGTTATAAGTTAATTTTAAGTGGAAAATAGTAAATTAAAAAGATAAAGTCACAAAAGATTAGAATAAAGCAATTATATTAAAAGCTACAATAGTTTTTGAGAAAATTTACTGATATTGAATTTAATTTTTAATGGATCTAATAAAACAAACGTTTTATCGGTAAAATACATTCACAATATTTTTAATTTCAACATTTTATAAGTCCATTAAGAAGCATTTACACTGGATAAAAATTGAAATTGGCCTATTTTTATTGTTATGTAATTTTACTCATTTATATTTATTCTGATTCCATTCTTACTACTAAATTTATGTATGATAGAATCTAATCTGTAATTTGCAACTATTTTACTACACAACAGAAAGGAACTATGGTAAAATAATCAACAGAAAAAATATTAGAGATAATAATTTATATATTAAAATAAAAATATATGTTGAAACTACTTATTAATTGTAATTACCTATTAAGTAATTATTAAATAATTTTGATTATAGAAGATTTAAGACATCATATAAAATAATGAATAATAATTTATCAAACCAGTTTCAAATAAATAAATAAATTTATTTTACTTTTGCCTTATTCAGAAAAGAGTTTCTATATTCAATACAAACTGATCCATGTTTTAATTACTGAATTTTCAGAATATTCCATTTGACACCCAGTGTTGCATAAAAATAAACATAGTACTTTTTTACACAGACAAAAATAACTACAGATAATATTCCTTTTCATAAGTTCCACACTTTATCAATTATTTGAGAGTATATAGGACACAGGCTAGCAACTGCATGACAAGACAATGTTCATCATTCTTGTTCATTAATATTTGTCCAGTGTAAAATGCATTCTTTTTAAAGTAGAATTAAATCAAAATCAGAACTTTTCAAAAATATAATTCTTTCATTAATATTTCATTTCACTGAAAATAATAATTTTTATCTCAGTCTCATTTGATGTATTTAACTATTCTATAAAAATCAAAGTATCAGTGCAATTTATTGATTAAATATAATGTTTTAACATTAATAATAAAATATCAGGTATTTAATACATGTAAAAATGAAATTTCTGAATATGGATCTTTTTCCCCTCATATCTAACGTTTATTATTCTCATTATATATTTATATTTTTGATTTAATTTAGAAAACATTAAATTGTTTCTTTAATTTCATGGTTTTATATAAAAACAATGACAATAATATTTTTGTAATATTCTTATTCAATATATTTAAATAACTTAAAATTTTAATTAAAAAATTGTGACAAATCTAAATTATTTATTCCAGAATTATTCTTGTTTTTATCAAATTTTCCATAAATATAAACTATTATAATTTAAATGATAGTAATATGAATAACTAAATTAAGATTTCTATTGTTGTTCAATTTATCAATAAATTTATTATAAATCAGCAAAATAAAAATTTGAATAATATGCAATGTTAAAATTTATGAAAAATTTTACTGATAAAAAGGAGATATTTCCTGTAGATTAGAAATTATAATAAAGAAATTTATGATAATATCTAAAGTAGCTTTTTAAGCAACTAATTATTTTATCTATTTTCATAGATTATCATTTCTATTAAGAGAAAGAGAAAAGTTTTGTTGTTTATTTTTTAAATTTCATTTGTTTAAGGATTGTTTGCTTTTTCAAAAAGGCATTTTATAATTATTTCATTATATATATAATTATAAATTGAATTGACATGTCATTTCATGACTCAATCATATCTTATCTTGCATATTTATAGTTAATAAAAAAAAATACTTGTTATTGTTTATAAATTATATGCTTGGAATCTACAATAGTAAAATTCCAAGATTAAAGTAATTCTATCATTACATATGAATAATTATAAACATTTGTGATAAATAAAGTGAATTCAAACAAAACAAATTCATATCTGTAAAATAATTTAATTAATTTCTACTTTTAAATGAAGGAAATTTTGAACATATTAATTACTAAAATGCTTCATGAAGATTCTATTACAAATTTGAATTAATCAAATAAACACCTTAATCTGAGAATAGAAATTCATTTTTTGGTATACATCTTTATAAATTTGGTAAATATTTTGAATGACTAATCAAAACAAAAACAGTAGCATTCTGCTAGTTTTCTACATATTCCCTTCCTATCATCTCCAGAATTGTCAAATAATAAATGTGTTTATCTATAATAATGTTATTTTGGAAATTAGATTATAGTTTTCCATTAATATTACATTTTCAAATAGATGAGCAAAAACAATAAAAGGCAATATATTCATGGAACTAGTACTGGCCAAAAAAGTTATTATCTGCAACTTATCCAAAGTTTTACTATAAATTAATTATTAATAAGTTGAGTGCATGTTAATTTTTTCAAAAATTGTATTTAAAGATAAATTCATTCTGATGGATTAGTTTGTTACTTTTGACTGTTATTCATGAACTTCAAACATCTGAAATGGATAAAACAGATTCTAAAAGTGGCAAAGTTGTTTTACATATATTTAAAAATAATAGTGAAATAAATTATAACACAGTTAGCAGAAAAAAAAAAAAAGTTATTATTGAAAGTAAAAACATATGTTAATATATCGATTTTCAATGTTTTAGAGATAAATATTGCCTTTTTTCCCTGTTACTTACTAAAGCCATCTTTAATGATGACCAAATGAATAATATCAAATATAAATATAATAATATAATAAAACACAGTACAAAACAAAAATACAATAGAATACAAGTAACAAATATAATCATACTTCAAAATAAGTAAACCAACAGGAGGATGAAAGAAACATGAATGAGGAATAAAGTTTATAAGATTCATTTACTTTGAAGAAAAATTTATAGTTAAGAAGGAAAATTATTTCAATAGGAACAAGAGATTATTAATGCAGTCCGTGATAATTTTGTGTCTAGATGTTAAAAAACAAATTATAAGACCAATGGTTTAAGCATTTTCTGCAAGTGAAAATTTCAATCATAAAATACATATTTGAAGATAAACAATTTAAGAATTTTTGTAAAACACAAAACTATAATCATCATCCTAAAGCAATGTATTAAAATTATCTAATTAATTCATAAGCTTCTTTTAAACAACTTGGATCTTTAATGTTTCATATAAAGGATACAATAAGAGAAATATCAGATTTATAAAATATGAAATTTTTCAAAAATCTTAATCCAATTTTAAATTAAGTTCTAACATACACTTATTTAAAATCTAAATATAGATAATCTATAAGAATAGTAAATACTTCTTTTATAGGGGCATTCAATTTTATAAAAATTTATGAATGCTCTAATTTTTAACTGATAACAATACCTAATTTCATTTAATGACCAATCAATTTTCTTTACTAACTTTTCCTTCTTCCTCACATAATGCATTTGATAACATAATATTCAACCTAAATAACTAAAAGTGTCTATAATTTAAGATATATTGTTATTGTGGTTTTATTATACTACTGGTCTAAATTTACTTTAAATTTTAAATAAATCAATTTTTCCTCTTCTCTTACAAACTACTAAAAAATAATTCCAGTTCCCAGTAGTCTATAAATAACCAAATGAATTAATCAGTACCAAAAAAATGAATTTTACATACATTTGTTGGAGTAGTCTGTCTGTCTGATGAAGAATGTAATGATTGTGAACCAAAAGGTTTGCGTTCAAGTTCTTCTATAATTGATTTTTCTTTTTCTCTTCTTCTACAAAGAATATATGAAATATTAGTAATACTGAAAATAACTTCAATACTATATTTTAAAAAATATTATAAGCTATTATAAAATTTAATATATTTTCCTAATTCATGGTTAATTTATTTAAAATAATAAGAAAATAAAAGCTAACTTTTAGTTCATATTTTTCTCTTAGTTTAAACTTAAACTATATAAATTAAGGATATTTAGTTTAAAAGTATATTTTAAAAATAAATAAAGATAATTATGATTACAATAGAATATTTGCTTAATTAAAAAAAAAACATTTAATTTATTATTGACAGTCATTAATAGAATTTTAAAATTTATAGTTTTTTTTAATGTATAATTAATGTAATTAAAAATACTCAGGTTTTCTATTTCATATAATTTATATATAATTTATTGAATAAGCAATGAAATTAAATTCCACTGATTATCCAAATTTTATTTTCTTCAAGAGTAATGGTCAATTAAGATATCTAATATTAGCAAGCAGATATTTTTACTGTCAAGGTGAAAAATAAACAATTTAAATCTCCAAGGCTTTTTGACATTCTAATTTTAAATATTTCTTGAAAAATCAACAAAATAATCATATAAATACATTTATATGTAATTTTTATGTATATATTATAATGCATTATAAGGAAATTTTATGAAATTTGCATATTTTAAAACAATTATATTCCAATAAAATTTTAAAATTATATAACTTAGTAAAACAAAACCTAAATGGTATTATCAAAACTTACCTGACATATACATAAATTACTATTGAAATGACAACAATAATAACAACAGCAAGAGAGACTCCACCTGCAATGCTTGCCCTTTCTATCATAATACTCTTTCTTACTGCTGTATAACAAAAGATAAATATTTTAATTTAAGAATAATTCAAATCATTTATTATATTAAAATAATATGAAATTTTAAAAACATGCACAAAATTTTATATTTCTATTGTTTGAAATTAATTTTAAAAAGTTAAGCTGATAAGTAAATCTATAAAATGAGAATCTGGAAAGTTTCATTTCTAATGATATACAAAGTGAAAGAAAGCAACTGCTGCTGTCTCTAAACACTCTCTAAATATTTAAATGCACTTGGCTTAACTCCAGCATCAAAACAAGGAATTTTGTGTACGAAAAAATTGTTGAAATACGATATGTTTTTTGCATGAAAATGTAATTAGTCTATCATTACTTATTTATGTCAGTAGAAAACAGAAATTTGAATAATTATACAAGAATTATATTAAATCTTTTATAATTTACTTAATGCAATGGACATAATAAATTTATATCAGTACATGTATAAATTTTATTCTATTAATGTTCTAAAAATCCCATTATTTAAGTTTCTGATTCAAAAATGTTTACTCACGAAGATAAGATCCAGCTAAATCCTTAAATTCACAACGCTGGCCAACAAAGCCATCTGCACATCTATAAAATCATCAAAAGAAATATTATTTAAAATTATTTAAGCAGTATTCAAAATAAAATTAGCCTAAAAATAAGAATGGAAACTTACTCGCAGTTATATAGAATAGATTCTCCAATTCTTACAAAAAAGCATGTGGCACCATTAAGGCAATACCACTTGGCATAATCTTCAGGACAAGTATACGTCTGGAATGTTATATTGGGCCTCATTGTAGCCGTCGGTGGACGAGGTTTGGGTGTGGAACGCGACGAACATGCTCCTGAAATTAAAGACATTTGCTTTAATGTTTATTTTTAAACTAAGAAAGTTTGTAATAATTCTAAAATTAATCTGTCTCAATTAATGTAAAATTATTTTTTCAATATTTAGTCAATGTTATTAAAAATATTAGGAATCTTGTTCTGGACAGTTATTAACCAAAATGTTTATCTCAATCAGTTCAATCAATTACATGAGAATTGTCTAGAAATACTTTTCTCACTAATTCTTTTAATCAAGTATCACAATTGTAATAATCACACTTTTGATAAATTAAAAATATATATAAATAGCTAATCACTTTTTCATAATCTTTTGTAACTGAAAAAATACACATCAGTAAGCCAAGAAATACTTTTTACATATATCAAAAAAGGCTAAAAACGATGGAGTCGGTTTTTTATAAAAAATTGTCTGTATTGTAATATATTTGAGAAATCCTACTCTTTCTATACCAACTTGCATGGAGTTAACAACTTTTCAAACTATATAAGGTTAAAATTAAAGAATTAAACAATACATTTTTTAAAACTAGCAGAAAAAATTCCTTTAATAAGCTATATTACCAGTGGAGGTAATAGAGAAGAGTTTCTTGGGTATATTATTGAATACAATACAATTTTTTACAAGAAATACTTTTATACTCAATATTGTAATTATTCCTTTAACAAATTTTTTATACGTATTTGTTTATTCAATATATAATTTTTGTATACAATTAAAGAAATTTTTGATGTATGAGGCTTGATAATTATAGTTATCTCTTGAAATATGCAATTAATTGGTTCCAAGAAAGCATTATGTAAAGTGAACGGACTTTTATATGGGTTAAATAGGGATACATTCCCAAAATAAAAAATAACTATAAATCCAAAATTTAGAAATTTATTTTTTCCAATCTTCGTAACTAGTAATTTAATCAAAATATCAATCAACTGATACAAGAATACAGTCTGTATCAACCTTTCTTCACTCTTTTGAAGGTTCAAGATTGATAGAATTATTGTTTCTCTGACAGACTTTAAACTATCTAAAAATAAGAATCTATTCTGATTAAAAGAAATTTAAAACAAAATTATTACTTTGAATATTTATAATACCATTTCATATACAGCAGTTAAATTGTAGATAAAAGTGCAAGATATTTTAGATAATTCAGGATCCATTTTGATTTTTTGAAATTGAATAAAGTGAGATCACACAGGATATACACATATATGCTAAGACTAACTTGTAAGTCCATAACATAAAAAAACATCTAGGAATAAGATATAAATAAATTTCCAGTAAGAGCATATCAGTCATTTGTCATCAGTCATAAAAATCTTTAATATTATATGTTATATTGTTCAAGTTCTTATAATTTGTAGTGACAGATCATAAAGCAAGCATTAAATTTTGTGCAACATTGGGTAAAAATGTTAACCGAAATCTACAGACTAACAAAGAAAATGCATAACAACAATGCTTCGTGCCAACAGCATGTTTCAAACGATTCGTAATATTTTATATTTTGTTGCAAGTTTTGGAAAAGACAAATATTGAAGATAATCAGAAATGATTAGAATTTCAAAAGCGATCAAAAATATTCACAAAGCAGATTTCATTTAATCATCAAATCACTTTTCAAATAATAAAAGGTTTAGCTCACATTAATGAAGAAATTATTTATAAAACTGCAAAAAAACTAAAATGATTCTTGCTGCACAATTCTGAACTGCATTATTCCAAAGTAATGGATTAAGAAGTTTATGATAATACATAATATTTAAGAACAAAATCATTCAATTTATTTATGCAAACTATCCCTTATTCCTTAAAATCATAACACCAAAAAGAAAGCAATTTGAGAAGACAGAGAACATTAAAAACAACACAAAAGTACACAGCTTTTGGAAGAAATTACTTTAAACAATATTGTTTTAATATTGCAAAATACAGATATTCAGTCTAGTACAGGGTTTCCTTTAAATTTAAATTAGTGTGGAATTTTAATTACTAAGTTTTTTAAACACAACTTTAGAATATTATGCTTCAAAAGAACAGCCAAATTCCTTAAATATAACATGTAAAATTTACAAATTCTTTTTATAGTAGATAAGATATGCAATGATTCTTTGAATTATGTTTATTTAGAACATACGAAAAATATGTTTCCAGTAAATATGAATTTGCAATAAGAAATAAAAATAATCCTTTTTTTAATAAATATTCTGCCAAAATTTAAGGTTTTTCAAAAATAAAAACCACATCGTGGTACGAAAAATCGATTGAAAAAATTTTATCTGTAATTCACAACGGTTTCGTTGATATAGCATAATTAATGCCGGAAAAATTCACTATCAATTCTTATCACCCAAACCAAGCCCAAAACGAAAATTGTTTTCATCACAAAACAGATAGCCACTTAATTATATTATAATACATTTGAGGCAGGAAAAGAACATCTGCCCCTAATTCTCCTATCAATCTCAATTCATCACTATCACCGCTACAGAACAAAGTACGCGGTGAAAAATCCACGACATAAAACCGGACACCCAAAACGCCAATTCCACCAACCTAATCGTCGATCGGGTTCACCCATCGTCGATCAGTCAAGTCCGACGACTGTAATAACAACCGTCAAAATATTCGAACGGGAATATTTCCCAATTTCCTCCCACTAATAAAGATAAAACACGTAGCTTCTCTCGATAAGATGCAATCTCCGACAATAGACGCTCGGACCGCTCGAACAAATACGAATACAAGATACGCCCACACAGAGATTTCTACAATTACAGAATACAATAATAGGTGACACAGCAGAAACGAAAAAGGTTTTTCTATCTTTTTTAAATAACATTTTAAGTATCGTTTTTGTAACATTCAAGCCAGTAGAATTACATAACTACAGGCAGTAAAGCACTGTAAGGTGGACGCTAACGGAAATGCAATGAAAGTAAATCTGAATAGAGAGGAACGGGAAACAAGGTCCGGTGACTGCCGGAAGTTCGACTACTGTCCAGTTCTACTAGACCGCGTACAGTCACGTGACGAATCCACGTCGATTTCGACGGAGTCGATTAAAACCAAAATGGGAGAAAATTTAAACGGTTTTAAATCGCCAAGATCGAGACGGCCGAACAAACACCTGACGGGATATCGACGGGAAGGGCGGCAGGGGCGACGGGCAAACACATCTGTCGACGGAGGATAGGAGGCCGAACGCGCACGTGCCCGATCCACTCCCCCACCTGCCGTTTTTCTTTACAGCTGCGTGCCCCGAACCCCCAGATTAACGTACGAGAGAGAGGAGCATTACGACCGACTGGCGAAGGGGTCGAATGTAAAGGGGACCGACGGGACGCGATTGCTTACGGCGTCGCGTTCTTCCGGTCGCGCGTCACTTCCGATCGCATTTACTGCACCGGAAGAAAAACGGGGGAGGCACAGGATATCTAGTGTGGCAACGGGAAGCGGGTAGCGACACAGGTGTCGACCGGTTCCACCAGCTGCGACTCGACATCGTTCCGAAACGTCGTCGAGCGACAGCACAACGCGTTTTCACGCTCCCGTTACCTTAGTAATTCTCAATCGGTTCGGCTCGTCTTACTCCATTACCGACTTCTGGCGGCAATCATAACCGCGGAATAAAAAATAAAACAAAAAACATGCCGGACGAAGGCACAATTACACTGAAAAATTCGAGCTAAATCCCATATTCTATCCGTTTTCCTTAAATATCAAATTCGACGGGATACGGACGAGGGAGGGAATTTGTCCACTGACGGTAGAGCGTCACGCACAGGACCGTCCGTTCCGGATTGGGAAAGGGGCGGTGCCCGTCTCCCACGGAAAAAAAAAACATACGGAGGGAGCGGCGTCCGCGATCCGGCGATTTCGTGACAGGAAACTCCTCCCACTTCACGTGCGCTTCACGCGCGGTCGACGGCCAAATAACCGCCGTAAAGACGAGAGACCAAAGGCGCGTCACCTACCTGCTATCCTGAACAGTGCAGAAGCCAAGAGGACCAGTAGTAATAAAGGCGGACACGTGGTTCTGGGCATGACGACCGGAGTGCGAAGTGGCCACCGAAGAAGCCAGCTCTGACCTGTAATTAAAAACGTCGGACGATTAGCGAAGGGAGCGGGGAGGGGGAAATCCGAGAAGAAAAGAAACACCGGCAGCAGTAGTAGTAATAGAAATTAATTACACGCGCTAAACGAGAGCGTGACGTCGGGCGTGACGAATCGGGATTCCGGGCCGGAAAGGACGCGAAATTTTGATACGGACGACGACGATCGAAGCGCGACCATCCGTTCGACCCCCGACCGAAGGAAAAAGCAAAAGCGAGAATGGGAGGGCGGCGCGGAGAGGCGCAGCACGTCTCCGACCGTTGGGCCGGGAGGGACCCGGGAGCGAGGCGACGAACGACGTCCGTTAACTTCTCCTCCGTCCCGATAACGGTCGGGCCGTCGGGACACGTGCCCGATCCACTTTCCGCCTCCGTCATTAGCACATTTAATTAGCCGGGGGAGGCGTCGGAGGCGCGAGACGGAACGCGATGGCGGGGCGTTCCCCGTCCGAGGAGAAGAAACGGTCGATCGACCGAGCGGGTCCGAACCCTCGGCCGCTGGCCGGTCCGTCCGGTCGGACCGGGTCGAGTCGAAACCTGAGGCGCGACTTTGTAAGTAATGTTTAAAAGAGCGCTTACCATTGTGCGTTCGGCCCGCGAGCGGACCATCCGTCCCGGGCACGGCGGCACCGGCATCTCGCACGAGATGGCGCCGCGTCATATCGGTAATCCCCAGGAGAGGCGCGCACGATCCGACCGCGCCGCCGCTCTCCCGCCGACTGAGACCGAGAGTAAAGTCGAAGCCGGAACTATACCGGGTCGCCGAACCAATGGCGAAGCGTCCGCCGGCAGCCGCGGCCACCCAGGGGCGGCGGAGGATCGCGTCACGTGACGGTGGCCGCGTCTTCCAGGTCGGACGGCCGTCTAGAAGCCGGCAGGTGGGGCGCGCGCCACGCGCCGCCAGATGGTTCCCCCTCCCGGCGGCATCCGGCGCGGAGAAGCCAGAGGCCCCTCGGCCTCTCGGGCCCGCTCTCCTCCGCCGACGCCGGTCGGGCCGTCGATCCGCATCTGTCCGACGACAGCTGTCCGACGTCGTCCGCTCCTCCGATTTAAAACCCAGATTTCTGCCGCTGGCATTCCGTATCTCGAACAAAAAGGGGAGGTAAAAAATGGCTCCTCGCGGGTCGGTCCGGTTTCCAGGGGAGAGCCGGCAGCTGGTCTTCGATCGGGGGAGGGAAATCGGCGCGTGCCGTCGGCTCCCCTCCGATGCTCCGCCATAAGACGGCACGAGCCCGCCACGCGCCTTCCGGGACTTCGCTGGGCAAAGAAGCGTGCCTCCTTTCCCCGGATTACTTTGGAAAATCGGCGATAAAGGGACGCGTTCGACGATTCCGAGCCGGGAAAAGGTCGGAATTCCTGGCCGTCCTTTTTGGCTTTTCCTCCTCTAACCAGCAGAGGAAAGTCAATTTTAACAAATTCCCACCGGCAGAACGAGTAAAAGTTTTCGAAGGAAAGAACCAGACTCGAGGCGAGATCGTACACGCATCCGATGAAGTCACTTCTATTCATAAATGTTTGATTCAGCGTCCGGTAGGAAAAACCGAATGGTTGTATAAACGATGAGCTCTACCAAATTCCCGGAAGAGAAGAATTGAAAATCGATCCAGAAATCAACACGGGTTAAAGAATAGAGTGGCTACAGAAATCGAATCCGGACACCTTTTATCGTTACGACATCGGAAGCCGATCCCCGCCACTCGTTCTCCCCTACTTTGTGGCGACGGCCAAACGATACAGAATAAGTAACAGAGGAAGCGGGCTTAGCCCGGAATGCCGATTTTTGCGTGTTCTATAAACCCATTTTTTTTCTTTTTTTGTTCGTTGGGACGGAACGACCTCGTCGGGTCCGAAAAAAAGGAAAGCGACGCATCCGAACCGGACCCGTCGGACAAAGCGCTGGGTTCTCCTACCTCTACCTTGGTTTTCCGAGTCCGGTTGCGGCGTGTGGCGGGCTTACCGGGCGACGGCGGCCGGGACGGTCGGGCCCGCCGACGGAAGACGACGAACTCGAGCGGAAGACGAACGGAGCGAAGCAGAAGCAACCTCCGTACCCTTAAACCTACGCCGAAACAATAGACGGGACGACGATCGCATTGTTTACGGGAGCCGGGGCGGAACGGACGGCGCGTGCCACGCCCGCATCTTGCACCGTCACCCGGAACAAAATGGTCCGTGCGCCGTGACGACTGTAAGACGATTTCACGGTCGGAGAGGAGGTCTCGGGCCCCGGCCCGGGGCGCCTTTTCTTCCGACGCGCGACTCCCGGGTGGAAGCCCGAGACGTCGTGCCCGTTTCCGGTGGATCCCAGACCCGTTACCGCGGTCCCTGGCGCGGTGAAAGTTCCGTACTGCCACGCATCTCGTTTCTGCACGCCCCGCAAAAATTCGAATTTCTGCTCCGACCTTCGGCCCGCTCCTTCTGTCCGGAGGTCAAAAAACCGTTGGTAGGCCTCGAAGTCAGAGAAACTTCCGGTCTTTCGTCTCTCTTTCCTCTGATCGTTCTTGTCGAAAACTCCCGGAGACCGGACGAAAGGGTGGAGATTACGGCCGTGTAGAAATGTCTCTGCACGCGGTCTCCGGTAAATCGCCGGTAACGCGACCGGTCCGCGTTTACCTTAATTACGGAACGGGGGGTAAAAATCGTTGGCGCGGAGCAATGTCCAGATGTTCGTCTCGAGCAGGGCCCAGATGCCCCGACAGCTGCCGAAGACGACCCGGTGGCGGCCGGAGCGACGGGTCCCGATCGAGTCACGTGGTAGGCGCGTGCTCACCTGTCCTCCGCCAAAGAAAAGACCGAACGGTATCTTTTGTGTGCGCTACTCGGGGAGATGCCCGCGATCCGCAGCTGCGAACCGCTCTTAACTCTCCGCGGCGTGTTAATGCCGCACCGCGGTGCTTTTCTCTGCACGTTCGGTTCGGCGTACCGATTCCGGTATGCTATTTAAAAACCCGTTAGAAATCCGTTAGAGAAGACAGAGAAATCGCCAGAAAATTTCTTTCGGTCGCCAGTAAACGTCGAAATAAAATTTAACGAAGGGATTAAAAAAGAAACTCGTCCGTATCTTTACATTTCGGTGGCCTACGTGTCTCCCGTACTTTGCAATTATTATTAAGATAAAATTTCCTGGAAGAACGTTCGTTATCGATTTTCCTTAGTGTCATAAATCATGGAAACATGTATGGAGTTCGAGCGTCGTTAATTTATTAAATATATCCAGGCTTTCATTACGTGAAACTGCGGGAACAACTTTCCTGGGACAGATGGTCGGCGCGGTGAAGAACCGACAGAATTCGAATCCGATACGGACTCCTATAATTTATTACGGGCACTACGGGTTGAGGCATCGTTCTCCATCCCCTTGCCGTGCCGATCGATCTTATTGACGGTCGGACCCGCCCGCAACATTAATCGACCGACCAATCCTTTAACATTTCATACATATTAAATGGAAGGACAAATGTCTATCTTAACGAGACCATTTCGTCGATCTCTCAACCTCTCGAAGAGTGATTAAATTCGACGCTTCTTCTACCGGTTGCTGATAATGACGGGATTACGTCGTTAGATCGTCGTCCTCGTTTTCGAATAGACCCAACTGCTACAGAATGACGCTTCGCAAATTTCGGTGGCCAATTATCCATTGTGGTAAATAATACGAATTACAAAGTTTGTAAAAATCGTTAGCTTGGATGGTATATTCTTGCCCTGAGGATGGACTCCCAGACAGTTACAAACTGTTACCGATTGTCGTTCTCGTTGCGGACACGCCGTGACACGATGCCACATGGTCACAACGGGCAGACAGAAAAAATAAAAACTTGGCGTGTCGCGTATTTTTCTTTCGTTAGACGGTGCGGTCGATTTTGCGGATGCCGTGGTTATTAACGCATCCGTTTCGTTAAACAACATACTTTCTATTTAAAAAAAAAAATTAAACTGGAAGAGTAATTTCAGTCATTTTTCCCACTTTCTTTACCACCACGAATATCTCGAGGAGGATGGAGAACTTCCGCATCGAAAGGGCGTTCCCGAAACGCCCAGCGGGTGCGATAGCGATCCGCATCGCGCGAGTGTTTCCCCAGATGTCGGTCGCCTTCCTCCGGATCGTATCGGAATTTTACGAAACCAAACGATTTCGATGGGAGAGTTTGGAGGAAAGACTTTCTTCAAGAAACTGCGACGTCGCCTTTCCAGTCCGGCGCCTCTGTTCTGCCGTCGAAGCTCGATTCTCGATGGCTTCCGAACCGGAACGGCAGGCAAATTTGAATACCGATAGAACGAGCCTTCCCGTCTGGCATCTGGGAGATGAGAGTTTTGGTTACCCCACGCGTTAACTAAGCAATTATAAAGAAACCATCGGATACGACGAAGAAACAAGAAGAGAATGCAGACGTCCCCTCCCCAGCCGTCTGCATTCCTTTCGTTACGTTATCTATTTGCGACCATTTTACTCTTCTCTAAATAGTTTTGTACCTGTTGGTCGGATATTTTCTCCACTAGTTAAACCGAGTCGTGTCGAAGTTATCGTTCCGCAGAAACGAACGATAACTTACGTACGACGGAATCAAAGTGAAAATTTTCGCCTACGAATAGTCGATAAGTGAACGTTCGGACAGAAACAGAGAATGGCAAACAAGTGGCCTAACAGTTATTATGTGACGTATTACACTTTGATTTCCGAAGTTTGGAATGAAATGTTTTGATCTTTTATTCGCGGAGAATGTCAATGACTAACGTGACACCCGCTGTGGGCACTGTCGCCATTGCGAGACGGCCTACTAAAGTTAAAAATAGTGATGTAAGCTTTACACTACGCCATGGAATTATATCGAAGAATGACTTACCGAAAGAATGACAAATATATATATATCTCGATGGCTGGTGGAAATTTACGGTTCCTAATAGTGCTTACCTAAACACTAGTAAATCCGTTCGCTAGAAATATATAGTTAGTTTACATTGAAGTCACGTGGTCGAAAACAGGTGACGACGCAGTTTAACCTTTCGAATAGCTGGCCGCGAGGGAAAATAAACGATGCTATATCGCCGAATTACCACAATTTTCGAACCTACTAAGACTACATATAGTTGGATCGAACTACTTTCGAACAGGGATGGAAAACACACCAAGCTAGAATGGGATCGATCACGTTCGGATTCTATTGGGAAACTTCCGAAAGAGAGAATTTATCCAAGACCTTATCTCAGGAAAGCGTGTAAATCGTGCCGACTTTGCCCATTTTCTACAAAATCCCGAAACATGGGACGATACCTATCGGTCGAATATTGCCACTAGTAGTTGTTAGCGAATGCCAGTTTCCCACCCACACGCATAGACGTTGAGGTTTTTCATCTCCAGTTGATCTATATTTAACCTAGACAAACCCAGACAACATGTGATGCGAAGACAGAGACCACTTGTTAATACTGAGACGACAGCAGCAACGCAAACTGCAATCAGACAGCAGATATAAAAGATTAAAATGAAATAATTTCAAAACCAAACCGAATCAAAACACGAGCCGAGATGAGGTCTCGAACCTTTAAATGTCTAACTATCACTGTAACTTTCTAAAGCTCGTCTAACCATTAAGAAGCACTAGAAATCACGTTGGGGAGCGGCTGCGTATATAAAACTTAGCGTAAAGTAACCTCGTACATAATGTCGTATACACGTGAAACCTTATCGAGTGAGAGAACCCCGACCCCGTATATCCTTACCGAAATCATCGACCCAATTAACGCCGAAATTATATACATTTGACAATCTAGTAAAATGCGAAAATCGGCACGTAGAACGGCGAGAACCTCCTTTCATCTATTGTTTTCGTAAGAACCAAACTCGACTCCTTAATTGTCTCCTTGTTATTTTTGGAATGCACAGTTACGCCACGGGGTGAGACTGAGTTATCATTTGACAATTCAACTTTGCGATACTTTCAAGGATGTTTGGCAAACTCCGACCGGTTCGGCATCGGTAATATTAGAAGGTATATATACACCTATGCGTTTATCTACTTTAAAAACTACGCTACAACTATTACTACCGCTACTACTACTACCATCACTACTATTATCTTCATACTTATCGATATCTTTTCTGGTCACGTGACCAGGGGGCAAAGATTTCTTCTCCAGCTTGCGTAGCCTCCCGCACGTATCCTGATCCCGTAACGACGACTCTGACGCATTACTGAAACACTCCCGAACGTCCTAACGAACCGAATGAGGGAATAAATTGCGATCTAACGTAAAATACACACGAAACAATTATGACCCCGATACGCCAACCGGTGGCCTACGCGTTACATCACGTCACGCGCAGTTTAAAAATTTCGTCATTCGAC